CACGGGTCGTGCGGGGGTTGTTGGTGGGGTTCGCGCGTGCGAGGGGTCGCGCAGGGGTCGTCGCGGGGTTGTTGGTGGGGTCGCCGCGTGTGCGAGGGGTCAGTGCGGGTCGTGGACGGGATTCGCGCCGTGCACGCTCGCGCAGCGGTCGGTGGCGAGAGCATGGGGTCGCGCAGGGTTCGTGCGGGGTTGTGGTTGGGTCGACTGCTGTGAGGGGTCGGCAGGGCGTGCGGGTTGTGGGTGGTCGCTGTCCTCCTACCGCCTGGTGCGAGGGTCGTGTGTGGGTCGTGGTGGACGGGTCGCGGCAGGGTCGTGCGGGGTTGTGGTGGGGTCGCGCGAGCGAGGCGGGTCGCGGCCAGGGTCGTTCTGTACGAGGGGTCGCGCAGGGTCGTGCGGGGGTTGTGAGGTGGGAGTCGCGCTGTCGCGAGGGGTCGCGCAGGGTCGTGCGGGGTTGTGGTGGGGTTCGCGCAGGGTCGTGCGGGGTTGTGGTGGGGTCGCGCGTGCGGAAGGGGTCGCGCAGGGTGTGCGGGTGTGGTGGGGTCGCGCTCTATGTGCGAGGGGCTTCGCGCAGAGGGTCGTCGCGGGGTTGTGGTTGGGGTCGGGCTGTGCGAGGGTCGTGCGGGGTCTGTGGGACGGGTCGCCGGTGCGAGGTCGCGCAGTGGTCGGTGTGGGGGTCGCGCACGGTCGTTGTGGGGTTGTGGAGGGGTCGTGGCGTGCGAGGGTTCGTGCGGTGGTCGTGACCGTGGGGTTCGCAAGGGGTCGTGCAGGGCCAGCGCTCTAAGGGTCGTGTGGGCGTCGCGCCAAGGTCGGTGGGGTTTGTGAGGAGGTCGCGCGTGGAAGGGGTTGTGCGGGGTCTGCGCAGTGGTCGTGGAGGGTCGTGCAGGGTGTGGAGGAGGGTCGTGCGGGGCGTCGTGCGGGCCCAGCGCAGGGTCGTGGGGGTCATGCAGGGTCGCGAGGGGTTCGTGCAGGGTCAGCCGCAGGGTCGTGGGGGGGTCATGCAGGTCCGCAACCTACGCCGTTGACGAGCTCGTGTGCGTGTGGTCGCATCTCGCCAGTTGCGCGGCGGCTTCCTTCCAGCGCCACGTCAAGGATCTTTGTCGACCTTGGCCGCAGCGGACTGCACTGCAATGCGCACAAATAACAACACTGAACGGTCGCCGGCCGACAAACAATCGGCTACGCTCGGGAAAGCGACGGGCGTGCCACGTTGAAAACTTCGACTGTTAGTAGTTTTCACCGATTGTGATGTGATACACTGACTAGTAACGGTATTGGGCCGGCGTTGACCAACTTACCATGCAGTATAGTAACTGGTGGCTACTGTTTAAGTGATATCATAATGCTATTCTTGGATGGCATAGGTGATTGGTAGCAATTAGCAATGCTACAACCAGTGAAAAAATTAATTTTTTTCTTTCGGGGCCCTTTTGGCAAACCCCCCCAAATTTTCGGGGCTACTTTTTCATTTTCCAGGGCTCTTTTCCACTTTCCAGGCGACTTTTTTTCCAGGGCTGTTTCCTGCAAATGTGTACACACAAAAAGGCACAGTAGCTAATACACACTCGTCTGGGGCGCGCACACACCACACACACGCTCCCCCCCCCACACGCCACGCACACACTGTCACGCGCGCACGCACACACACACCACACACACACACACAGACACACACAGACACAACCAGTCAATATTCAAGGACAGTTATTCATGCAGACTGACAGACTAACTTGATAATTCACGAACTCACAAGTCAGCAACCACAAATACACCTGAATAGTTGAATTACATCACAGGTTCAGCTAAAACACAGAACTATTACGGCTAGCCACACAATAGTGGAATGTCCGCCATGTACGAGCTTAGGAGGATCGATTGTTTATCACGCAAGTCTCTTGCGGCTGGGGTCAAGGCCCGCGTAAGGGCCCTGGAAGCTCAGGGGGTTTGAGAAAAGCGGGGCCCGCGAGGCACGTGTGAATGGCTTGTTTGACATCGACCTGCCGTACGTGACTGCTGCAGGGGCGGCTTGATTGAAGTTTGGGGCGGGGCACGCATTGTTTCAGCGGGGTACTAATCATACTAAAATTTTAGAGGGCGTTGGATTGCTGGACTATTGATGAGAGCGGCAGCAAAAACTCTTTCGGGGAATCTGACAAAAAAAGCCTACAATCGGGAATTGACCACGAGTTGTGCCGGTCAGGGGAAAAATATACTTGTGAATTTCATTAGGATTTTTCCAATTTGGATTACCGTTCTATAATCCTACGGGTTCGTTGGTCCTACGGGTCTACGTGTAGGCACGCCGCAGGCACACTCCGCAACCACACGCACGCACGCACGCAGGCACGCACCGCAGCACACACGCACGCACGCGCGCAGGCACACACGCAAGCACGGCCCGCAGGCACACCGGGCATCCACAGCAGGCACGCCCGCTACGCACGCCACGGCGCGCAGGCACGCAACGCGCGCCAGGCACACACGCAGCACGCCTGCAGGCACCCGGCACGCAGCACCGCGCGCAAGGGCACACACGCAAGGCACGCGCACAGGCACCACATGTATATATACGCGGGCGGCGGCGCTGCGCTTGATTGAAATGCATACACACATGCATGCTTTAATAAGATACACTTGAGCAGCCACACCGTACTAGGAATTCTACCGCGCCGTGGAACCAAGCCTTGCGCTAGGCGGCACGAGGCGAGCGAGATCGGCAAGGCGCTGGGACCGGACGGACAATCGATTTCCCAGGGCGACTTTTGCGCTTTTGGGAGTCGCCCCGATATCTGGTGTATTTTCGGGGGCTCTTTTTGGCATTTCTGGGGGCGAAATCGCCCGCCCGCCCCCCCGTGTATTTGTTCGCCCTTGGCTACAAGCATTAGTGCTAGATAATAATAATGCTAATAAATAGCTGTGATGATATCAATGTTACCTGCCATGCCGTTACGGTTACATATCTGAGTCCGTTGATATCAGTAAATGCCGCTAAGTAGTAATGATAGCAAGTGCGCAGTACTGAGTAACAGGTAGTAGCTGCACTTGCTCCGACAGGTCGCAGCAGCAGCGACCGGTAACGCTAGCGCGGTTCACCGGTCAGTATAGCTTAGGTGTTGCAATCGGTTGTAATTTCGTAATCGATCATCGGTTGGATTCCAAGTAACGATGATCGGTTACAATCGGTTACTCGCGAGTGTTGATGCCTCTGCGTGTTGTGTAACGTTCGTCGTGCATGTACGTGTGTGCATGTATGTGCTTGTTTAGCTCTGTTTACTGGTTGTTTTTGCACTGTTTACTACTGTTTGTATATACATGACTGATTCTCATCACTTTTTCAAGTTGTTTCTTAGTTGAAATGTAAAAAAAAAAAAAAATACGTTTTTTTTTTTTTGTATGAAATTTGATTATGGATTTTGATAACCAAGCGCTTGTGTTCGAGGCCACTGTTCAACCCGATTGAATCGAATCAATCGATGATTCTGTTGACGATCACTAGTTATAGCGTCACCTGGTCGCGGCGGTCCCCTCCCCCACAGCCGTTAGTAACTTACGGAGCAGCGTGGGCAGATCCACTCGGTGCCCTTTCTTCGTAAATCTTCCTCTGCTCCAGCGCGGGGTGAGGCAGGCCGGGTGGTAGTGCCGACGGCCAGCGGTCGCAGACATGAGCGTGCCGCTCTGAGCGATCGCGGGACAAACACGCTCGGTCTCTCATGGCAGTACTCCATGTGCTCTCCCCCCTCTCCGCACGCCCTCCTTCTCCTGCAAGCAGCGACGACGTTACTGCGCATAAAGATAAAAAATGGAATGCGAGCGGACGAATTAGTGAGAAGGGCGATGCGGATGACGAGAGAGAGAGCGGACGTCGACGCACATGACACGCCACATCTCCGCTCACCTACAAGGCACACGGGATTAACACAAGACACACACATACACCATTAGCACGCGGACACACCACGTTACACAGACTACAAACACACACACACACACACATGCACACACGCACACACAGCGAACCACAAAGTGTGACGAGACACGCAACACAGCACAGTACACGCATGGCACACCCTGTACGCAGGCATCACACGATACACGTGCCTATGACATGCAGTGCGCATACACACTCAAAGCACGGCCTACGCACGCACACATGAACACACACGCACTAACGCTTGCACTTCGCACACACAACACACACCGTGAATAGTAACACACCACCAATTCCCACAACCCCTTACAAATACAATTGCCCGGCCCGCACAGCGCATCCATTCACGGTCTACAACGGACAAAATCCACCACCCTCCGGCCCCCACCCCCCTGCCGCACACGCGCGCTGAAACGTGGGGCCACCATAAACGAGCACACCACCAACCACCAGCAGCAGCAGCAGCAGTTAACGAGCAGCCAGCGTAACCAGTAACATAAGCAGCACCGTTTGCATCTTGCGCTTACACAGGTGAGGGCAGCCTCCACTTTTCCCATCGGGCGGCCTGCTCCAGCTCGGGGGGGTCAAGGCAGGACGAGGTGGAACGACGCGGGCTAGGCTGTCGCAGAGGATGATCTCCGCCTCCCTGCTTGAACCACACCTCGCAATGGTAGTCCTGATGGTCGGTCTGCAACGACACGTCGGTCAACGACGACGCTATCGTCTGCGTGGTAAGAAGTGGAACCATACCGATATGATATATGAACAGGAATGCAGACGAGGAAACTGGACTGACATAAAATGGGCGGGAGAAATGATAGTCACAAAGACGTGTGTGCATGTACGACAGTGGAAAAGTATAAGATGAAGAGGAGATGGGATAAGAGGAAGAATGAGATTCAAGGAGAGACAGAGTGAGTGAGTGAGATGGGAGAGGAGTGAGTGGAGTGAGTGAGAGTGAGAGTGGAGAGTGAGAGTGAAAGTGTAGAGGAGAGCGATGAGTAGAGAGTGAGGTTGGAGTGAGGTGAAGATGAAGGGTGAGATGGCGCGATTATAAGTGAGAGTGAGAGAGAGAGAGAGAGGAATGGAGACTAGAGACCAGAGAGGAGGAGAAAGAGAGAGAGAGAGAGAGTAGAGGAGATAGCGAAAAAAGAGATGGAGAAGAGAGAGGAATGATAAGTAGAGAGAGATAGAGAGGAAGAAAGGGTAGAACAAGAGCGAGAGAGAGATGGGCAGTAGCATTAGGGGCAGTAATATCAGCAAGCACCAGCAACAGTAACAGCACCACTCACCACTGCCTCTAGAAGTTAGCAAGTAGCAAGCAGCTTGAGCGAGGTAGCAGTAGCGAGAAGTAGCAAGCAAGCAGCAGCAGCAGCAGCGCACAGCAGCAGCCAGCAGCAGCAGCACCATTGCCAGGCAGCAGCAGCAGCAGCACCATACACCATTGCCAGCAGCTAGCAGCAGCCAACAGTAGCAGCAGCACCAGCCTGACAGTAAAGAAACAGCACCACCACCACTGCCAGCAGCCAGTAGCAATTAACTAACAGCCATCCACCACCACTCTCAGCAGCAGCAGCAGCAGCGAGCAGCAAGCCAGAGGCTAGTACAGCGATAACAAGGCAAGCATTACGACTTTTGAAACGAAGCGAGAAGCAGCAGTAACAGGACCACCACCACTGCAACAGCGAAGAGCAGCAAGCAGCACAACCACTGCAACAGCCGAGCAGCAGTAATAGCCCGGCACCACCAAGACTAGCGCAATTAGCAGCAGAGCCGTACAGCAGCATAATAGCACCACCACGCACTTGCCATACAGCGAGCAGTAAACAAGGCAGCAGTAAAAGCAGCCACCACACTGCCAAACAAGCGAGCCAGCAGTTTACAGCAGCAGTGTAAACGAAGGACGAGACGCGGGCGCGACACGAGAGTGAGACAGGCACCCCACCACCACTGCGCCAACAGCAGCAGGCAGTAACAGCGCGCGCAAGCGGAGTAATAGCACCACGCACCACTGCAGCATAATTCAGCAGCACCAAGCAGCAGTAACAGGCACCACACACCACTGCAATAGCCAGCAGCAGTAAACAACACCACCGACCACATTCAGCAGTAACAGCAGCACGTAATAGCAGCAACGCACCACTGCCAACAGCTGGCAGCGAGTACGGTTCTCTCCTTTTCTCTCTTAAGCACAACCACCACTGCAGCAAGTTGATTGTCAGCCGAGCACCAATTACAAACCAGTAACAGCCCCCACCACCACTTGCCAACACCACCAGCAGCAGCTAACAGCCTACCCCGCTGCGTAAAACAGCGACTCGCCCATCTCACTGCACCTCTACCTAAGCCAGGCAGCACCAGCACCAGCAGAGACGGCGCGTTCTCACCTCGTATCCGTCCGCGTCTCCGTCGTGATCCTCCGGGAAGCTCGACGTCGTCTTCGTCTTGTTCTTCTTGCTCTTCTTCGCGCCCTTGCCGCCGTTCTTCTTCTTCTTCTTCGACTTCTGCTGCGTGGAGCCAGGCGACCCGTCGTCGTTGTCCGAATACATGAGCATCCGCTCAAACTCCTCGTCGGAATTCTTCGCCTTTAGATCAAACTCGTCCTCTTCCTACGGAGAAGCGAGACCGAAACGACTGGTCAGCGTGCACGTGGTCGGGAAAGCACCTCCCGCAATACGACCTGCCTACCAAATCACACCTCACAGACACCTTCAGCCCAAGTTTTTTGTATTTAATAACATAAAACAACGTGCGAACGCAAAATAAGTTGGTGAACAAATTCGCCTCGATTTTTTTTGTAACAACCGGTTTGTCACATGTGCACGGTGTCACATTTGCACGGTGTCACATGTGCAGGGTGTCACATTTGCACCGTGTCACATTTGCACGGTGTCACACGGCGCGAAAGAAAATGTGACAACCCGAGGTTCCAACGCTGCCAATACTAACAGCAACTCGAGTTGATTCGAATTGTGAGAACACGAGGTCCCAGTCCTAGTCATGGGATTTTGGAGGAAGGAGAAGGGCAAGTGTGGACAAGGAGAATCCCGGACAAAGAGCTCACCGAGCTTCCAGCCTTCTTGCGCTTTTTCGATCGCCGCTCTCCGCCGCCGCCGCCGCCAAGCTTGATCTTCAATGGCGGCACCTTCTTCTTCTTCTTCTTCTTATCTCTTGAGCTCCGGCGTGGCGGGTCGTCAATGTCAACATCCTCTGCAGACGACAAGATAGAGGGCATTAAAATTCATCACGGTGGAAAAGAGAGCATGAAAATAAATCGTGGTGGGATAGAGAGCGTGAGAATTCATTATGATGAAATAGAGTACCGAAGTGTGACGTCACGTTGGCAAGACAACGTACGGGCTGGTTCTACACAAGCCACTGGCTCCATAGCATTTACTGCGTGAAAATGTTGTGCGTACGTAAAACACGAGTGTGTGCGCTGCAGACAGCGGTAAAGCATCGGTAGCAAGTCGATCTTACAATATTTAATGAATTTAAAAAAAAATTAACTTCGGTACTCTATAGAGGGCATGAAAATCTAGATGATGTTAAAATATAATAAATCTTGGCTGGATATAGAGCATTAAAATTCATCACAGAGGAAAGACAGCATTAAACGTCATCGGGGCATGAAAGCTGGTACTAGGATAGGATTCTGTCCCCTTTGTTCCTCTCGCTTTCTCTTTCTCTCCCTCCCTGTCTCTCCCTCCCCTTCCCTTTCTTTCTCTCTCACTCGCTTACCAATGGATTCCTCCACCTCATCTTTGTATGGGTTCTGCTCGGTGAATTCCCGCCAATAAGCCTGTAGCAGCTGATTCATCTTGCTCGGTGAAAGTTTCTGGTTTTCCGCCAGGAGGGGGCGTATATTCTCTGCATTTCATGCAAAAAATACATTGAACTTCCTGACCGACAAACGCGATGCAACGTGCTCCCATTAACGTGGCAAGTTTAACGAATGCGGCAAGCTATGGCTGCATAACAACACAATGTCGCAGACGTACACGCACAGACGTGCACACTCAAATCCATGTGTACTCACATGCACGTATGCGCACAGACGCACATGTGCATACACATGGACGTATACACGCACACTCACGCAGACGTACTAGCCCAGACACATGCAGTACGCGCACTGCAATGAGGCGGACTACACTCTTACACAAACATAGGAGTCCGTTGTCCGGAAAAAATTCTCAATGCGAACGTTCTCTTGCAAACCGGACCTCTACATACGGCATATTAGAAACTTGTAAGTTTTCCACGTTTCCAGAGAAAATCGTCAACATCGAGACTACACGAGAAAACCGCATGCAGGGATGCTGTCGACGCCGCGCGCCTCGGTCACCCCTGGGCCTCTGCAACGCCGCACGCCCAGATGACCCCTGGGCCTCTGCAACGCCGCACGCCCAGATGACCCCTGCGTCTTGGCGATCCGCACGCCTCGTCGACCTGTCTCGGCAACCCCTGCGCGTCTCGCCAAACTGCACGCCTCGTCAATCCATCTCGACGACCCCTGGGCCTCTGCAACCCGCGCGCCTCTGCGACCTGCACGTACCTGTGAACACCCTGTAGTTGGTGAGGTTCTTGAAGTCGGCGTCCGTGTACTCGAGGTCGACCTTCGAGAGGCCGAAGCTCTCGCACAGGTCCGCCGATGTCTTCTGCGCAGGGAAAGAAATAATAATAAGAAAACTAAAAGAACGAATGCACAAACGCGCGCGCGCTGAACGCGAAGAACAGGAAACGCCGCGTCACAGCTATGAGAATACTTGCGATAACAGGAATTTTTGATAATTTGCTGTCACAGGCTGCTTATTGGATGAGAATCGATCACAAAACTCATACACATTTGTTGTACGTGACTTACAGACACACACACACGCACACAGACACACACACGCACACAGACACACACATACACATATACAGACACAGACACACACACGCACACAGGCACACACGTACACAGACACACACATACACATATACAGACACACACAGACACACACGTACACATACACAGACACACACGCACACACACACACACAGACACACACGCACACACGTACACAGGCACACACGTACACAGACACACACATACACATACACAGACACACACATACACATACAGACACACACACACACACGCACACAGACACACACGCACACACACACACACACACACACGTACACAGACACACACGCACACACGTACACAGGCACACACGTACACAGGCACACACGTACACGGGCCAGACATGCATACATACACACAAACATGGACGCACGCACACTTGAACACACACGCACTAACGCTTGCACTCGCACACACAAACACACACGTGAATATAACACACCACCACCCCCACAACACCCTTACAAATACAACGCCCCCGCACAGGCGCATCCATCCACGGTCCTACAACGACAAAATCCACCACCCTCGCCCCCACCCCCCTGCCGCACACGCGTGCTGAAACATGGGGCTACCATAACAGCACCACCACCACTCCCAGCAGCAGCAGCAGTAACAGCAGCAGCAGCAGTAACAGTAACATAACAGCACCACCCACACTCCCAGCAGCAGCAGCAGCAGCAGCAGCAGCAGCAGCAGTAACAGTAACATAACAGCACCATCTTGGCATCTTGCGCTTACACAGTGAGGGCAGCTCCACTTTCCCTCGGGCGCCTGCTCCAGCTCGGGGTCAAGGCAGACGAGGTGGAACGAGCGCGGGCAGGTGTCACAGAGGATGATCTCGCCTCCCTGCTGACACACCTCGCAGTAGTCCTGATGGTCGGTCTGCAACGACACGCGGCAACGACGACGACACGCGTTAAGAATGAACCATCCAATTTTATGACAAAGAGAAGGTGACATAAATGGGGGGAGAAATGATAGTCACAAAGAGTGTGTGCATGTATGAGTGAAAGTAAGAAAGAGATGGGAAAGAGGGAGAATGAGATCAAGGGAGAGACAGAGTGAGTGAGTGAGAGAGAGAGAGAGAGAGAAATAGAGAGGAAGAAAGGAGAGCGAGAGAGAGGAGCAGAGCATTAGGGGCAGTAACATCAGTAGCATTAGCAATATCAGCAGCACCAGCAACAGTAACAGCACCACCACCACTGCCAGCAGTAGCAGTAGCAGTAGCAGAAGCAGAAGCAGCAGCAGAAGCAGCAGCAGCAGCAGCAGCACCATCACCATTGCCAGCAGCAGCAGCAGCAGCACCATCACCAGCAGCAGCAGCAGCAACAGTAGCAGCAGCACCAGCTGCAGTAACAGCACCACCACCACTGCCAGCAGCAGTAGCAGTAACATAACTGCACCACCACCACTCCCAGCAGCAGCAGCAGCAGCAGCAACATCAGCAGCAGCAGCAGCAGCAGTAACATAACAGCAGCAGCAGCAGTAACATAACAGCAGCATTACGACTTGAACAGCAGCAGCAGCAGCACCAGCAGCAGTAACAGCACCACCACCACTGCCAACAGCAGCAGCAGTAATACTAGCAGCAGCAGCAGCACCACCACTGCCAATAGCAGCAGCAGTAATAGCACCACCACCACTGCCAATAGCAGCAGCAGTAATAGCACCACCACCACTGCCAACAGCAGCAGCAGTAACAGCAGCAGTAATAGCACCACCACCACTGCAGCAATATCAGCAGCACCAGCAGCAGTAACAGCACCACCACCACTGCCAACAGCACCAGCAGCAGCAGCAACAGCAGCAGCAGTAACAGCACCACCACCACTGCCAACAGCAGCAGCAGTAACAGCAGCAGTAATAAATAGCACCACCACCACTGCCAACAGCAGCAGCAGTAACAGCAGCAGTAACAGCACCACCACCACTGCCAACAGCAGCAGCAGTAATACCACTGCCAACAGGGGGTCAAAATTAGATTTTTATTTTGGTATCCATTCGGGATACCAGGTATTGAAATCTGGTATCCCCCCCCCC